GCATCCACTGAGGTAGATGAAAAGGAGATGTAGAGCTGTGTGTCATCAGCATACTGGTGACACGATGCCCCACACCCCCTGATGACCTCACCCAGCAGCCTCATGTAGATGTTAAACAGTATTGGAGAAGTGATAGATCCCTGCGGGACCCCACAATTGAGGCTCCACGGGCCCGAGACTCTCCAAGCTGTACTCTCTGAGGGCAGTCCTCCAAGAAGGAACAGAGCCAGGCAAGTGGCAGGCCACCAATTCCTAACTCAGAAAGCCTCCCCAGGAGGATACTGTGGGGCCGTTGATATGTTGGGATAAGTTCAAGGAAGCCATGCTTTCCAAGAACTCAAGAGCTGGACCGGATACCTCTGTCTCCGCATGGATGTTGAAGTCACCCAGGACCAAAAGTCTTGGGGACTCCAACAGTGCCGTGGAGACGAAGTCCGCCAGCTCCGGTAGGGAGGTGGCTGGGTCACGGGGAGCGCGGTAACCCAGCAAGATCCCAGTACCATCCCTGGCCCCAATCTGCACATGAAGGGCCTCCAAACCTGGCTTCACGACCGAGGAGCGCCTAGTAACCTCTAAAGATTTTCTCTAAACAATGGCAACTCCCCCCCCCGCTCCTCCAGTCTGCCCTCGTGCTGGACTGCATAACCCGGAGGACAGGAAAGGGGCAGAGGTACCCCTCCTTCCCCACCCATCCAGGTCTCAGTTATGCATGCCAGGTTTGCATCCTCCTCCAGAATAAGATCTTGAATAAGCTGGGATTTGTTGGATGCAGACCTGGCATTCAACAGGACCAGGTTCAGAGTAGAGGGCCAGCTAGACTGCCTACCTCAATATTGGCAGTTGGTCACAGTGCCAGAAGAGTGAACAGCCTTCAAACATCTGTCTTACCAAAATCAGCTATTCCTCCCCAGGACCTTCACCTTCCTGAGTGGTTGAGGATAAAAGAGGGCAGAGCCTGCCATTCACCCCTTTTGATAGTTAGAGGGTAGGGATACCTTTCCATGTGTAATAAAGTGAATGGGAACACACACCTTGGTTCACTATATTGGAGGCTGCTCCTTGCTCCTGAGTCCTTCCATCAGAGCCAGGGTTCAAAGGGAAAACATCTGGGAGTTAAAGAGTTTAGCTAGCTGCTGGTACCAAAGCCATTAAATATACCTGTCCACGCTCCATTCAGTTATAAGTGGCTTTCCATGTAATTGATGTGATACTTGCTGAGAAATGCTGTTATATAGACCTGCATTTTTACACTTGCCACTTTATCTATATATTTGCATGAGTGACTCAAGGAAGGGGTGGGGAAGGAGATGGGTCTGTATGTGTTATTTCAGGCAGAGGAAGGTATGGCGCTGCAGATCAGATAGGTCAGATGAAGGAAGGGTGAAAAGGATGCTTGTAATCTGCCCTGTGTTCTGTCCCTTACCCTGTCCCTCAAGATTCGGGTTGTCCTGCCAGCCCGCCCTTCAGTCTATTGGTGCTACTGTTAATACCAAGTCAATCCATAATAAGGCACCATTCATGACTTGGTTGTAGATTAAGGGTCTGACCTGGTGTGTATAACTGAGACCTGGGCAGATGGTCTGGGTGGAATGGATTTGTCTCAGCTTTGCCCTTCTGGAATAGAGCAGGATCAGGAGAGGATTTGCTGCCATCTATAAGGAATCCATCTCCTACATAAGGAAACCTATCCACCTGGCACCACTTTTGATGGCATATATATTGTGCGGGGCCAACGAGACACAAGAAGGCTGTTGATGATGTACTATCCATCCTGCTGCCCAGCAGCCTCCCTGACAAAATTAGCCGATGTAGTCTTGGAAGAGGTGATGGATAACCCCAGAACTCTTGTTCTGGAGGACTTCAGCATCTAGTATGTCACTGCTGTCCTAGCTCAGGATTTCATGGTTACCATGGCAACCACTAAAAATTCATTGGTTGGTCTGACACGTGAGGTATTCCTAATTCATCATCTCTAGACACTTGTGAGCTCCGTTGCTCAGAGGGCCTGGGGCTAGCTTCAACTGGTCTGCCAGTATTGACAGGGACAATCTGGCCGAAGTTTCATGGCGACCTCTCAGTTTACTTCAAGGCAGTCTACACGGGCTGCCCTTGAAGATGACAAAGATGCCTTAGCAAGTTTGATATGCAATAGCTTAATTGCTAACAGGATCGTCTTTCACAACCCACGTAGCACCAGTTCTGAAGGATTTGTACTGGCTGCCAGTATTTTTCCGGTCTGAGTTTTCAAGGTGTTGATGATGATGACCTACACAGCACCTCTCCATATACAAACCAGATATGCTGGGGATGTCCTCCTCCATGTCCATCCACTGAGAAGTGTACCTTATGTGGAGACGTGCGGAAGGGCTTTCTCAGTGGTGGCATCACCACTGTGGCAGGTCCTTCCCTTGGAAGCTTGACTGACATCGGTATTGGCATCATTTCAGTGCCAAGTCAAAACATGTCGATTTTTTACAGCCTCTGAGGCTTGAGGGTCTTGGCCTGCTCAGGTTTTAATGCCACAGTTTCAACATTTTAATTTTTTGTGTTTAAACTTTAAAAGACAATATTTTTAACATTTGTCTTACATGACTCTCTAACCAGCCCTGAGATCTTGCAGCATGGAGCAGGTGGCTGTAACTGTTTTAAATAAATAAAACAATAAATGGATTCTAAGTGAGCATCCATCCATGACACCGTAAATATGTAGTACTCATGTACTGTTTGCTGGCTACTGATAACAACCTAATTCTCACAGAGATATGTCTGAGCTGAACTCATTCCCATTGATAATGTGGGACTAAGATAATGGAATGACTCACCACCATACAAAAGATGTCCTGCTCATACAAGTAGAAAACTTGTATGGTCTGGGATAAGGCATTTCTCTAGGACAAGAATGCTTCTTTCTGACATGCTAGGTGTTTTGGAGCTTTTTGGGGGGGGCAGTCTGTTTGTAGGAACATTTCACATGAGCTTGCACTACTAATTTTAGTGATATAGCTCATGCAGAGATTTGCT